GGTATGAAGTTATTCATTGGAGTTTTGTTGATTTGCCTGCCCTGTCCCTGCAGGGGATTGAACCCAGAGTCACAAATGCTAAGCAGGTACTCTACTACACACAGCAGAAGTTTTTCTTATAATTAAAAACAAAACAAAACCCTTGTGTTTCTGCAATTATTTCTCCACCACTTTTAGAGGAAAAAAAAAAGATATAGAAAGTTTCTATAATCTTTGGAGCAAACAAAAATTTCTTAAGCAGTACCCTAAATTGCTCAATGTAGTAATTCATAAATTGAACTTACATTAAAATGAAGAACTTCTACTCATAAAACACCTTATTAAGGGAGTAAAAGATAGTATTGTATTGTGTGCACATATCAATATGTAATAATGAATCTCATCATTATGTACAACTGTCATGTACCAGTAAAAACTGGAAAAGAAAAAATAAGATTAAGAGGCAATTTATAAAGTTAAAGAAGATATTCAGCATACATTATCTGACAAAGGATTTATATGCAGAATTTCTATAAATCAATAAAAATGAAAGATAAATAAAAAATAGCAAACAACATGAACTGATAACTTCACAAAAGAAGATATACAACATGGCCAATAAATGTACGAAAAGGTGCTCATCTTCATCAGGCATCAGAGAAATGTCAATTAAACCATGATGACATACCATTGCATACTCACCAGAATGGATAGAAGTAAAAAGGTGGAAAATGCCAAGGGTTGGTAAGGATGTGACCACACTTTCATACATTGATGGAAATATAAATTGGCACAACCATTTTGGAAACTTTTTGTGGTGTCTCTTAAGACTAAATGTATGCATACCCTTTGACACAGCAATTCTACTCCTGGCAATTCTATTCCCACTACAAATGTCACTAAAACACATGTTCCAGATGTCTGAGCAGTACTATTCATAAAGGCCCCAAATTGAAAATCACTCAAATGCATATCAACAGTGGAATGATAAATTATGATAATGGTCTACAACAATATGTAAAAATATGCATAAATCTTACATTGTAATATCAACTAAAGTGACAGCTCATACTATGTGATTCTACATCTATAGAATAATCAAGAGAAACGAATGGAAGTCAGGACAGCAATACTCTTGTTGAATGAATAGGGACTGAAAAGTAAGAAGTTTCTGGAAGGATGGTACTATTCTGTTTCTTGGTCTGACTGTTGATTTCACATGTTTATTCAGTAGAGCTGGGACAAGGCGCGGAAAGCAATATACTCAGAGAGCACAATTTAAGCTCACTCTTGGCACCTGAAAGCAACCTTAAAATGTGCCTCCTTAGACCAGTAGAGCAGAGAAAAGAGACCAGGGAGAGGGAGAAGGGGAGGGAATGGGAGTTATTAGGGAATGGAAATGACCAAATTTTGTTATTTGCATGTATGAATATGTAACAACAAATCCCACTGTTATGTACAATTATAATGTGCCAATAAAAATTTTTAGAAATTAGAAAAAAAGGTTCCCCTAAGCATCTTATTTGTCTTACCCTTCTACCAGTCCTAGTATTCAGTTTGTGAATATTTATTGAAATATATTATTATGACATATATATTTTATTATATAGATTATGCTTAAATTTAACAAATGTTAACGGGGTCTAGTCTACCTCAGAAAACAAACTTTTAATGATCTAAATGTGATATGGGCATAGTGGACAATACCTATCATCTCAGCTACTCAGAAGTCTGAGGCAGGAGGATAGTAAGTTTGAGGCCAGTCTGAGAACCTAGTTAGGAAAACAAAACAAAAAAAGGGCTGAGGATGCATCTCATTGGTAGAGTGTGCCTGGGTTCTATCTCCAGAACTACAAAACAAGTAAACAAACACTTAAATGTGGGTATGGGATGTGGCTTAGTGTTAGGGTGGTTGCCTAGTATGTGCAAGGCTTTGGATTCAATTGCCAGTACTGGGGGGAAAATAAAAGGAAGAAAGGAACAAAAATTAAAAACCTAAATGTGAAAAGAAAAATTTTAAAACTTTTAGGATAAAATACAGGAGATTGTTATTAATGCCTTCAGGTAGAAAAGGATTTCTTGAGATACCCATAAGCACATATTAAAGAAAAAGAATAAACTACATTAAAATTAAAAATATTTCTTTATCAAAGACCTCTTAAAGATAAGTTAAAAGACAAGCACAAACCTGGAAAAAATATTAAAACACAAATAAGTAAAAAAAAATTCAGAACACCTTTTGAAAGTCAATGAGGAAAAAATAAATAATCAATAGAAAAATGTATGAACCAGGCATAGTGGTGCATGCCTGTAATCCCAGCAACTCAGTAGGATCACAAGTTCAAAGTCAGCTTTAGAAATTTGGCAAGGACCTACACAACTTAGTGAGACTCTGCCTCAAAATAAAAAAATTAAAAAAAAGGACGGGGGGTGTACTTTGGGTTAACCCCCGGGAAAAAAAAAAAAAAAAAAAAAAGAAAAAAAATGTATGAAAGACTTGAACAGCTACTTTCTATAGAAGACTGACCAATGAGAAGATTCTCAAACTCACTGATAACCTGGGAAATTAAAATTACAATAATGAGGTTGTACTCCTACCTCAGATCTAGCAAATTGGCAGAAGACATAAACTCTGACAATATCAAGTGTTGGCAAGAATGTATGGATTTTCCTTTACTGTTGGTAGAATATAAATTGGTACAATCATTTTGGAAAATAGTTTTGTGTTACCTAATGAAGTTGAAAATGTGCAAGACTAGAACTCTCTGATATAATCCCTAGAGATATTCTTTCACATGTGTACCAGGAGATATGTACATGAATGTTTCTAACAATTAAAAAGAAATAACTTCAACAAGAGTAGGATATTAGCTGGGCATGGTGGCACACATGTGTAGTCCCAACACTTAGGAAGCTGAGGCAAGAGGATCACCTAAGCCCAGGAGTTCGAGACCAGCCTGGGCAACAGAATAAGACCCCATCTCAAAAATGAAACAAAACAAATGAGTAGAATACATTACAACAGTATAAATGAAAGAACAACCATACATAATGGATGAATCTCAGTTTTGATGGTCAAGGTAAGGACTAAAATCATAGAAAAATACTTGAAGTATTATTATTTTTATATAGAAATTTTAAAAGGGCCAAAATATTGGTAGATGATAAAACTAAAAAGACCAACGGAAGGATTATAAAATAACTCAGGATGTATTTATCTTTAGAGATACATGAAGTGCATTAATAAAGGGATACCTGGTGGCTTCTAGTGGTAAATTTCTACTTCTTGGCCTGTGTGGGTATACGGATGTTTTCATTATTCTTTAAATGGTACATATAACTTTTGTGTACTCTCTTTGATGAATTATATGTTTCAAAATACAGTAATTTTTAAAAGCAATAAGGTTAAAGTTCTACATATGTACACATGCGTATAAACGTTTGTATTTTCCATGAAGTAAAACAATAGGAATCTTTAGTAGAAAAATGTCAGTAGCACTTCAGTATATTTGCATTCTCTCATATGATTGGCTGGTTGAGAGAGAAACTAATATCAAATATAAGTTTACCATGAAAGCCAGATCTTTGCACATATAGTTTCTGTTAAATATATACTTGGAAAATGTCATCACCTGCCTCATTTAATCTATTAATTAAAATATACTTTTCTAGGCTGTCTTATTTAAATCTTATTTGGCAAACAAGAAATTCTTAATTTTTTAAAGGATAAAAATCCAGTTGAAATCTATTCATTCTTTTCTTAACCTTTATTTATTTTTCTTAGCCTTTCTATGTTAGCTATATCTTCCTTGAGTAGAATCAGAGAAGAAAACTGTACCAAAAATCTAAAGCCTTTTTCATGACTGACATTGTGAAGATACTAAAAATGAAAATAAAACAAAACAACCTTGTTGTTCGTTTGGTTGTATTATTTATATTAATTCAAGTAAGACTGGGCTTGTTTTCCATGCAGTAAACATATATATCACTGAATTAAAGATCTGGAAAGAACCTTCAGAAATTACCTAATAGTCATCTTCTGTAAGTAGGACTCAGATTATCTCAGGCAAATAAGTTATTATCCTAATCTTAAAATGTCTCCTGAGAAGGTTTTAAAAATGTGTTTGTCTCAGAACCCTTTTAATACAATGTCAGCCTACAGTTAGCAGCCAGTAAACAGTAAGTCAACAGTATAGATTTACCTAGGGCACAGTGGGGCCCTAGCAGTACCCAACTCTAAAGTCTCTATGCAAAAGGCAAGGTAAGGGGCTCAGAGCCCTGCCTGTTCAGCTCCTTTGGCTGCAAACCCATCAGCTCCCCTGGCTTTCCCCAGTGATCTAGACCCAAAGCTTGTCTCTCCACATAAACGAGTGCTGACATTTTGTTTTCACTCTGATTTGGGTTAATCCACAAACTTTCTTTCTTGGCTTCTTCCCACTTGATTATTCCAGAAAATCAAGAGCTGATTTGTACTTGTATTTGATATGAAATAGACACCTAAAATATTTGTAAGTCCTAAAAATATGTCACTTATAAAAATTAGAAATATATTGGGAAATATTTTTCTCCTAATCATGGGCAATAGGCAATTTCATCTAAAAACATATTTCTTTCTTGAGGCCCGTAATATTTTTTTTTGGTACCAGAGATTAAACCCAGGGGTGCTTAACCACTTAGCCACATCCCCAGCACTTTTTTGTATTTTATTTAGAGATAGGGTCTGTCTCATTGAATTGCTTAGGACCTTGCTAAGATGCTGTGGCTGGCTTTGAACTTATGATTCTCCTGCCTCAGCCTCCATAGCTGCTGGGATTACAGGTGTGAGTCACCTCACCTGTCCTGGCTAGGACTGTACTTTTTTAGACTAAAAAATCCTTGATGTCAAAACTAGTTTTGTTTCAGTTTTTATACCTGGCATGCTCCACTGGACTGTTGTTACTGTGATATGACCTGTATGCAAAGTGAAAAATGTCAGTTGTATTTAACTGAATAAATGGAGGCTCACTAAAACTTGGCCTTACTTGATTGTTGTACTCCTCTTCTTCATCATCGCAGTCTAGACCCTGATGGGCAATTTCAGTAGTATTATTCTCCTGAAACAGATTGTTCTCCAAATCAGATACTCTGGCTGCCTCCGTAGTGACTTTTACTTTCATGCTATGAAAGCCTGTGGAGACCAATCCCACCTGCAAATTGACAGGTTCCCCATCAAACAGCAAGAAGTGTGAGTTCACCCCTTCTTTAAAACCAGGTGGTTGGTAATCATGTGGAGTCACTGCAAAATGAAAAGGGCAAAAAGCCATGAAACTTAGTTTCAATAGAAGCCAGATTAATATTTTAAGTATAGCAACAGGTATCTTTCAGATGTTTGTAAAATCCTTCTATTTACATAAAATATTAGTTTAGTACTTAAGAAGAATTTGAATAAAGGTCTCCACCTACCTGAATTGTAGTAATGGAGTTTCATAGTAAGTATAACATCGTTAGGAAGGGGTCCAAGGTTCTGCATCAGTATATATAATTTACGAATCAGCAGTACACTGGCTTTCTTAATATCTTTACTATTTGTTCCACTTTCAAAGCTTGTACTACTGCTATAATCACATAGAAAAAAAGGTATACTTTTCAATCATATGCAATACTGACAATATATTCCCAAAAGAACACAACTTTTGAGTATATGATCAAATAAATATAAACATCTAGACATTTTAGAGAAAATTTTTAGATTATAAATTAAAGGAATAATTATACTCTTTCAATGCATATACAAAGGACTTCTAAATAATATGTTCACCTAAAGCATTTAAAATATGACCTTATTTTTAAAAATTTGCTTATTACAAATAACCACATGTCATAATAATGAGAACACTGGATTTGGAATTAGGTATCCTGGCATCTAATATTATCTCTGCTGTTAACTAGCTGAATGTCTTCAGTCAAATCATTTAGATACACTTTATTGTTTATGTCATTTGTAAGATAAGCTTACAGACATTTCTATAACTCCCTAACCATAAAATCAGTTACTAGCTCTGTATCCACCATCTGGTTATCTCTCAAAGGTATCCCATCCTCACACTTTCAGGGATTACCCCAATGGGAATCTTAACTATTCTTCCTCCTTTCTTTCATTTCCACATTGCAAACCATTTTCCATACCACTGACAACATAATAATCCTAATAGGAAAATATGCTCATATCACCTTCATGCTTAAAATTCTTCCATTAAATTAATAACCTTTCAATCAAATAAAGGATGGTGTAAAATGCATTTAATGTCCATTCATACTCTTCTCTATTCTCACCAGCAGCTACTGTCCAATTTCCCCTCAACCATGTGCATTTGCTGTTCATTCCACCTGTATTGTGCTTTTCCATTTCTCTTCTAAAACCTAATGCAATGTGTCATCTTTTCAAAGAAGTCTTCCCTTATAATCCCCACAGCTTTCCCCTTAGGAGAACTGTTTGTCCCTCACTAAGCAGCGAGTGACTGTATATTTCATCAGTATCTTTCATTCAATGAATATGAATGAACAAGTTGGACTAAATTACCTTCCAATTCTAAACTTTTTTTCTCTCTGAAATTTTCTTCTCCAATTAGTCTCATATTTGAGTAGTTTTGGGGAAGAGCTATGATTGTTGGTATAATTGCACAGTGTTGAAAAATAATCCTAAGTAATTGAACTATTGAGTTTTCCCCTAACTGATCTTTAGAGGCAGTGTAAATTCATAAAGCAAACCTTTATTAAGCTTTTCCATCAATTTCAAACAACTTAGCTTTGTCTGCCAGAATTTAACCAATTTAAACAAGGTAACCTGAGTGAAGGGCTATAGCCAGGTGGCCCAGGGGATCCTCCAGGATTCATCAGTAAAATCATTCAAAACTCTGATGTAAACAAATACTATTTTTTGGCTTCTAGGAAATTCTAATATGTATTATTTTCTTGACTCCCTAATATCTGGAAGATTTGGCCATTTTTATTTTACTGCTTACCTCTTGGCATATGTGTCTTTAAAACCAAAGAGATTAATCTGGTTGCCAGGGATATTTATATTTGAGTTTTAGAGAGTAAAAACAACAGCTTTATGTGAGAAAATATGTGTAAATGTGAATATAATCTGTAAAGTGCTATACAAACGTTAGCTAGTGATGATTAAAATTTTAACTCTCATTTTTGGAACTTTGTTCTCACATTTGAGTATTGCCTATAAGTTTTATAAATGAGAGAATAATTAAGGAAGTGAGTATTAGAGAGAAATCGTCAAGCTCCAGAGAGCTAATAATAGAGAAAAGGGGGAATTCTGCCACATTTCTCTTAAATTCATTCCTTTCGGAGATATCCATCTCCCTTACTTGGAGCACTCTACTACCTAGGGCTTTTCACTATCATTTGCATCTTCCATTTCTATTGTATCAGTAAATCCTTAGCTCTCTCTACCTCCTGGCTGATCTGAAGCCAAAAAACTACTGAAAGAAGAATAAATATTGCTCCTCAACAAAACATCTTCATCTGCAATGGGCCCTTCTGAACTACTATTTAATCCACTAGTGTGCTATTTAATCCACTAAATGTGTTTAAAACTTGGAGTTTTAGATTTGATAGGACAATAAGGTGTTTTCCATACAGAGAAGCACATAGAAAATGCTATTTGTACATCACTGTGAGGTAGGCAGATGACAAAAGTTATGCATATAGGCAAATAGTCCAGGGTTTTTTATCTAACCCTGGCCCCAACTGACTATATAGAATGTGTAAAAGATCAATATCTCAATATAGCAGTTGAGAAACATTGGGTTAGTAGCTAGACAGGGCCTTATGGAGTTCTTCAATCAACATTGTGCAGACAGCCTTGTTAATATAATGGCGATGCTTATCATCTCCTCTACTCTCATCAATTAAATCCATGGATTTCAGAAATTTAATTATTACAGTTCATTTTTATAATAGTGAAATTTTATAGGATTTATGGAAAAATGATAAACGAAGTATAAAACTTTTTTCTGGCTTATAAAAACTTATGTTTATCTCACTTCTATATATTTTCTCAGGTTCATTAAATAATTAGATTCTACCTGTCAAAATCCATAGTGGCTCCTTCTTTTGTGTATTTGAATTTGAACTGGTATATCTCAGTCACTTTCTAGAAAACCAAAGGTAATAAAGAAATTAATTTTAAAAAGAAATCCAGATTTTATCTGATAATAAGGCACATTTTCATTGTATACCTACCATGCTTCCTATATACCTGTTTATTTCACAGTATTATATTATTTAGGAGTAATATTTCCAGATATAAAGATATTTTTTCTCCAAAAGTGAGTTAGATGATAAATGCTTCCATTATAATTGAAGTTGGAAAAACTAAGGCACAGTCAAGTATCTGACCCACTAGGTTATGACGGAGGAATCAGCTGAGAAACTATTCATTCACATAATACCTATTTTAGTGAATGTCTGTTTTGTATCAAGCATTGGAGTCACAGTAATGAACAAAACTTTTGCTCCCTGTTTTTCTTGAATTTACAGTCTGATCAGGAGATAATCAATAAATTATTTCACCTAGTACGATTGCTGTGAACAATATGAAGCAGATGCTGTGATGGAGGATGAAGGGGGAAAAGTACTGATTTGGCTTGAAAGGGCCAAGGAAAGCATCCCCGAAGAGGTGATATTTGAGTTGAACCTCAAGAGAGGTGAGCCATGTGCAGTCCTTGGGTGTGATGATTCAGGCAGAGCAAACAGCAATACAAAGCCTCTAGAAGGGATATCCCCCTCTTCCAAGATCTGAGAGGAGGCTAAAGATGAGAGAGCAAGGGGGAGAATGTAGGAGATGAAGTTGTAGAGAGGGTTGTTATGTTTTATTGGCCATGGTAAGGGGGGGTTGGATTTTATTCCATATAAACCAGAAGGGTTTTAAGTCGGGGAGTGATTTGCATTTTTAAAGCTCACCCTGCCAATCTTAAGAAAGGTATGGAAACTGACATGTTAAGAGGCTACTGCAGAAATTCAGGGAAGACTAGACAAACAAAAAGAAGGGATCTATCAAGTATTATTATTTTTTCAATTCTACACTAAAAACTGGATATTACTGCTATCTGCTCTTCTGTTAAGAAAGCTAGAAATAACAAGGGACAGATTTCAGAACACACAAAAGTGCACCTCATTCATCTGGTTGAATATATAATCCTTGATAATGTGGGAATGAAGATGTTAGATTGATCAGAAAAAGTCCCAGTGCTTCTATTACTTTTCTCTACTCTGAAGTTTAGTCTTCTAGTTCTGCAGATCTTACACCTTAATATACACCTTAATCACAGGTGACCATGTACTGGGAAAACTGGCTCATGTTGGTTAAACTCTAAAGTGAGAGATTTATCATGGAGTTAATTTTAAGATACAAGTATTTCTCTAACTAGACAACCTACTTGAGAAATGAAAGTTCAGAAGGTTGCTTATGGCTACAGTAGGAGAGATGGGTGAGATTAGAAGCATCTACAGCTGCCTAACAGCAACAGGTTCACTCTGGACAGGCTAGATACACACACAGTGTCTTCTCTTAATCAATGCTGGATGTAATTGCCCTGTCAAACAATGCCTACTTCCTGCCTGCCTATGTTTATGAGTCAACTATAGCTATTTAATGTTGTAAGTTTTTATTTTTTAAATGAAAGAAATCTTTCAGTAGCTGATAATTTTACTTGCATTTTATTATTTGATCACTGAAGCAATAGGCTTTACATTTATAATTGTTTTATAGAAGATGCTATTTCTTATTAACTTGAAACTAATTTATCAAAGAAGGTATATTATAACTCACAAAATGTTCTCCCACTTTTCAGGATGTGTTGCCTGACAAAGGTGATATTTTAAATTGAACATCAATTGTTTCTATCAACCATGCTGATCACATTCATATAGACCAAAGCAACAGCAACACACGCAGCCTCTTCTCCCTCCACTTTCCAATGCATTGGTAAGACTTTTCAGGACTATCTTCAAAGCGAATTGGAAGACCATCTAATATTCATTCCCTATTCTATAGCCAAAAAATTTTTGGCAATACAAACCAGACCATGCAATACCTTTGCTTAAACCCCTCTACCCAATGGCATCCCGGCGCCCTGACAACTTTTAATTTATGAATTATTTTGGTCTATAAGACCTTACTCATCTGTCCCCTACCTACTTCTCCTGCACTTTCCCTCCCATTCACTAAGTGATAGGATCATGGCACCTTTTCTTTCATAGACATCCAAGATTCCTTCCCATCTTAGGGCCTTTGTATAGTTATACTCTGGAACATGCTATCTCCAGTTAATGATAATATTTGGCCACTGCCCAAAATGCTGTAGCCATGAAGTAGATTTCAGTAGCCCTCCCTATTCTGAAGTATATATTATTATTCTCATTATTGAAGAAGCTGGTTAAGTGGTAGAGCTGAGATTTGACTCTAGTACCTGTAATGTTAATTAGCATATTATTCTACCTGTTACATGTCATTGCCTCTCATAGACCTGCAAAGGCTGACTCCTTCTGGTCATTCAGGCTCAGCTAAAATAGTGGTCCAGTAGGAAGGCTTTCTATGAACTGCCAATCTAACACAGCCATTCATTTCTTCCTTTTCCATCTCTACATCAGCATTGTTTAGTAAACTACATTTAAAATTTTTTTCATACACAGTAATATGACTATCTGAAAGTTTTTGCTAAATTTTGTTTACTTATTTATTATTTATCCCTCCACATAAGAATATAAAGCTTCAAGAGGGCAGGGACCTTATTTATTCCATTTACTTTCATGTTTTTGTAGCTTGAATAATGGTAAGCACATAAAATGAGCCCAATGCATATATAATATGTATATATTCTCTCTCTCTCTCTCTCTCTCACACACACACACACACACACACAAACACAAACACACACATTTGGCACTTAATCACTGAGTCACATCCCCAGCCCTTTTTACATTTTATTTTGAGACAGGGTCTTGCTAAGTTGCTGAGGCTGGCTTTGAACTTGTGATCCTTCTGCCTTAACCTCTCAAGCTGCTGGGATCACAGCCATGTGCCACCATGTCCAGCCCCAATTTATATTTGCTGAGTGAATAAATATTTAGCCCAGAGTTCATGCTCAGTTAGGGTTTCATCTTATAAACATTTTTAAAAACCAAAATTTCTGAAAGCATAATGTAGTTAGAAACAGGGACCACCTATAGTTCAGTTCCTGAAGGAGACTATTATAATTGGGCATTGACTACCTCTAATAAGCACAAAGGAATAGATGGTAATATCATAAGATCTGTATTTTTACAATATTCAAGTATACTAATTCTTTATGTCACAAATTAAACCTTTATTTAACATATTTACATACAGCTTACATATCTTATTAATACCCACCATACTTTTTGTAGTATGCGTCTATGAAAAGCTATCATTCTTTACTACTTCAGCTGCCTTTGTCAATTTCTCTTTCAAAAGATGGAGCAAGCAGAACAAAACTTCATGTGCAAAAATGCCAGTACCCCAAACTTTGTTGGCCTTTGAACTAGGGAAGCACAATTTATCTTAAGCCAAAGTCTTTCACTGTTGTATCATAACATACTTGTCACAAGAGTCCTGCAAATTTAAATTGATGTGTAAAGTATATTTTTGCTGCTTTAGGTAAATATTAACATTGTTACTGTTTATGAAATTTTGTCTAGGGAAGGATATATTTCTAGGGATATGACTCAAATGTTTGGCACAATATCAGATAAATGCCAAAGACTGTTTATGTGAGAATGTTGTTTTGTGAGTACATTAAAGAATATGATCACGGAACTAAACAGTAGTATCAGTGACATGATGCTAAACAGCAAATAAAACAGTGTAATCTTGTGGATGGATGCTTTTAGGCACTATGAATGTTGTTATGCTATAGTAGTAGTTATACTATAATTATTGCTGACTCTGTTATTCTTTTGAGTTTTTTTAATATCCTCAAGCAACCATCAAATCTTTTAGTAATCAGAAGGGCGCCATGAACACCTAGTAGTTAGGGATCATCACTATAGGGAATAATTTACAAATATTCAAGATATTTTCTTGGGTCATAAGTGATAGCTTAGAACTTACCATATAATAAGTTTTTGTTTTTTATCCTCATTGTTGTATGTGCTAGCATTGAAACTCATTTCAGTTTTTTTTTCCCCATTCTGTAAGATTTTCCTGTATTTAAGGCTAAGTTAGTCAGCATTTCACTACCCACCAAATTACTGATTTATAACTAGGAGTTTTACATTCATAAGAAAACATGATAAATGCTGTACCAAGAAAATAACCAATTAACAATTTATCAGAAGTTGTAGTTTAGGAAACTTCTGTTTAAACCTAAGAAAAAAGGAAGACAAGAGACAAAGACAGCTAGGGCTGCAGCTCAGTGGCAGAGAACTTTCTTAGCATGTGTGAGACACTGGGTTTGATATTTAGCACCACATAAAAAATAAATAAAATAAAGGCATTCTGTCCATCTATAAATTCAAAAAAAAATTTAAAACAAAAAAGAGACAAAGATAAAGAAAGGTAAAACTAGTTTGGACATTGAGAAATTGTGATCCATCTGTATTCAAAGTTTGCTTCCCCTTTGCTTACATGGTTATTCATAATTTTGCAAAGAGAGAATTTTAAGAGTTAAAAACAATTTTGTCTTGAATATGAGCAGTTAGACCAAATACATTGGCTAAGAGAAGAAAAACTGAAATCAAGGAAAAAGTAAAGAAAGCTAGGAAGAAGATGAAGAGAACAGAACAAGAGGAGAGAACAGAGGGCTTCTCCTTCCAACTCAGTACTACAGCCACAGAAGCCAATGTGGCAAAAGTAACTATTATGTGTCTAGGACTATAATATTCACTCTGGAAGACAGAAAACAAGACAAGAACCTTGTCCTCAAGAATTCACAGTCTGCTTGGGAAAATAATCTGCATGATTCAATTGAGAGTGTTAAATTGTGGGGTTCTTCTGGAAAATAAATTTAGAGAAGTTAGTGTAGACAATCTAGGTAAAGAGGCTTTTATGAAAGATTTGAATTTAAGTTGGCCTTGAGGATAAGCAGCAATCACTAAGGTAAAGAAAGAAATAGATAGGGAAGTAAAAAGGTAAAAATTCTGAAACTCTGTAAAGGTCAAAAGGGGAGAATTTAGTTGGCAAAAAAAAAAAAAGTTTAGAATTATGCCATGTCTGGTTTATTTTACTAAAAGACCATAAGCAATTTTCAGAATCAGTTAAAAGAAATAAAATGTGTTTTTTATATATTTATATATCAAGAGAGTCTTTTAATGTTAATATGTTATGGAAGAGGCCCAGTTCTACTCAATGCCTTTTTTAAAAAAAAAATAATACCCCTAGGTAATATTTGAAAATCTCATACTAAAGAATTGGTCACATTTATAAGAAAATATGTTGAAAGAGCTCACTCTTACTGTTCAAATAGTAGTGTAGCAACATAGTCTATAGTCTCAACTCAGGTAAACATACTTAAATATAATACACATATACTATCTACCTATACATTTGTCTTCTTACCTCAGGTTCCTTTGGATTTGTGTAAAGCTGTTAAAGTAAAAATAAACAGCATTTAATTTCTGAAATTTACTAGATTACTCCTCACAGAATACATTTTCTACATAAAGAGGACAATTTGTACTCTATTGAGTATTGTATTGATACATATTTCAAGCTGGAGATAGGATAAGCTCTTGTTTTGTGAACATGGATCCATTAGAATACTTTATGAACACTGACTATTAAGGAATTTCAAGGTATTTATAACTATTGTGAATAAGCTACAATAAATTCTAAATAATTGGCATGGTTTAAATGTTTAAACAAATCATATATCTAAGACTCTTAATGGCATATTCTCATTTTTTTAAAACTACATATGCCATGTGATAATCAGGAGTATACAAAACTTCAAAAGAGTCTATAAAATTTCAAAAACAAAAAACTTTGAGCCTGTAAAGTAACTTTAAAAATATAAAAATCCTGATAGCCAACAGATGAAGCAGATAGTATATCCCATATGTTTCTCCATATCTATAATCTACAAAATATATAATTAATGTTTTAATAAAACTTCTGATGAACTATTTTTTAAATTCCAAAATGTAATAATATGGATAAAAAAAGGAAGAGGGAGAATATAAACGTCAAGGAAGTAGAGACAGAGGTTTAGTCTTTAAGTATGTACTTACTGTAAGTACTGCCATATGTAGCTTCAAGAAAAAAGAAAACTTTGTTAGAATATAATTACATCTATATCATTGTTATTTTCAACAAAAGCTAATTAAAATATTATTTCAGAGAAAGTAGAGGAAAGGAACCAAGGGGAGGTAGAAGGAGATGGAAAGGGGAAATATTGAGGAATGATATTGGCCAAGTTAATATTGTTATGTTATATGTATGTATAACATACCATTATGTACAACTATAATGCACAAATAAAAATATGGAAAAGATAGTATTTCAGACATGTTACAAATATTTAGGTAGAAAAAAATTATTCAAAAAGTCAGATAAAGGAATACTAATTATTCATTCATTCAAGTAGTACCTATTACATACCCAAAACTGCTGGAAAGCAAAGGGATACAAAAAAAAAAAAAAAAGGTAACTATCCTACTCTCAAGAAGTTATATTTGAATTTGGGAGGCAATAAATGCATCAAGATATATGAAATAATTCCTTGTTTCTAAAAATTAAAAATACCCCAAGTATCTTTAAAAAAAAGTATCTCTTTTGAAACTAATCTCTTAGAATAAAATTCTAAGGCTGATATCTATAAAACTCTTGCCTCTATATATACACTACTATTAAGAGATTCTCTCTGATTAATAGAATAGAATATATAGACATAGATAGAAATAATCAAGCTTTTTTTTTTTTTTTAGCCTAGAATTCAAATGGGAAAATTTTAGGACTGTAATTTCATTGCAAATAACTAAAACTTTAGTGACACCCTGTGGTTATTTTGGTTGCTGCATATAATTGATTTTTAAGATCACTCAGTGAAATGGTATTAATCAATTAATAGTTCATTCATACATGTAAAATACATATGGCCCCGGATCTCAGGAAACCTGCAGATTAGCAGCATAGACCAATATTAAACCAAAAAACCCAGCATAGTGGCTACATCATTGCAATTGTATTAATGGCTATAAAAAAGCAGCATGAGATGCCTTGAGAATACTAAATAGAGGGATAATCTAGGCTGGGGAAGAGGGAATATTTACTTCTCCTGGAGAAGTAAATATTTAAGCATAGACTTAAAGGATAAATTGGAGTTAGGTAGATAATGTGTATGGGGTCAAGGGGAGAATTTTCTAGACAAAAGAAACAATATGTGCAAAATTCAGAGGAGCTTGGCATGTACTAGAATCTTTGTGTTGCTTGAACATGGAAATTAGAGCAATGCTTTGGGAAGGCAGATAGGGATCATACAGGTCTTGCAGGTCATGTGAAGGACTCTTGACTTTTATTTTAAAAGCCCTGGATATTGTTTAGGTAAAAGAATGACATGATCAGATTCAGGTTTCTGAAAGAATATAATGGGGACAGGGACTTGCAATGGTGGGGAACTGAGAATGGGAGTAAAGAGATAAATATATCATCTTTTTAATAATAATTATATAAAATTTACATAATTATTTGAATAATTCAAGCATAGTATACATACAGCACAAGGAAAACAATGTAAAAATCACCCAAAATTTCATAACTGTCAATAATCATCTACTAGCACATATTCTAAGAATCTCTAGGTAATCCAACTTGACTTTACTTAAACTACTTTTAAAATCTTATTCCCTACAAGCACAAAATCACCTGAGAGAAGTTATAAAATATTAACAACTGAAAAATAATTAAATACTATTTATCTAAGAGCTTAAGTCAATTTCTAAAACAATTTGCATCAGTTATACACATAATCATTTAGTATAATAAATGCATCAAACTAGTTAAGATATTCTTGTACATTACATGTTATTTTAGTACATAGAATGTTAGATTTATTTTATTTAAGAAGTAAGTCTCTAGTACACCGTGACCCCTCTGGAGAGGAGGAATCACATCTTCATCTCATTTGTATCCAGTGTCTAGGCAGGCACAATGTCTGGTACAGATTAAACAGTAAAGGATAAAGAATGAAGGCATAAATGGTCAACATCTACACTGAGCATATTATGTGCCAGGCATTGTTCTAAACATTTCAGATCGGTGTTCCTCAAATATGGTCCTAGAGCAGCAGTGAGAGCATCACCTCAAATTTGTCTAAAATACAAATTCTCACATCAGAAATTTGGGGGTGGGGCTTGGCAATCTGTGTTTTAACAAGCCCTCCAGGTGATTTAGATATGAACTAAAGTTTGAGAACCATTGTTTTCAATTATTTACTCATTGAATTCTTAGTTCTTAGATAACCCTAAAAGGTAGGTTCTATTATTATGCCCATTATATATGTAGTACTAAGAGGTAGGTTACTAGACCAGAGTCACACAGGTATTAAGTGATAAAACTGGGATTCACCTAAGACTGTTTGATTCTGAAATTCTAGCTCTTAAATATATTGTATGGCCCCTTAATGATGAACACCCAGAACATGTTGCTAAATGAATAGATGAAGGAGAATAAAAGAATATTGTTTAGTATGCCAGTGTGACCTCCTTTTTTCAACCTGTCCAAACCCTCAGGGTCTCAAAAGCTCAAAAGTCTTTCAAAATTTCCCCTTATGTCCTTATGGAATACAATATTTCCTTTTCCATGCCTCATACTGCAGCTGATTAGTAGCTCTCCTTTGACATCTATCACTTTTTTTCTTACCAATATTGGACTGAACTCAGGAATGCTCTGCTACTGAGCTACATTCCCAGCCCTTTTTAAATTTTGGGACAGGATCTTAATAAATTGTTCAGGCTGGCCTCCCAACTTGTGATCTTCCTATCTCAGTCTCCCAAGTAGCTGGGATTACAGGCATGTACCATCACACCCAACTTGGCATGCATCATTTTCTTTTTTAAAAGTTTTTAGTTGTAGATGGACACAATATTTTTATTTATTTATTTTTATGTGGTGCTGAGGATTGAACCCAGTGCCTCACATGTTAGGCAAGCACTCTACCACCAAGCCACAACCCCAGTCTCAGCATGCATCATTTTCTGAGTCTTATAGTTACTTATACTTGTTATAGGGGTGATAGTCAAATATATATATATATATATATATCATATTTTTAAATAAAAATATCAAACTGATATGAAAAAATCAATATTTGAAGTCCAATATGGCACAGGTATTGACCAATCAGAAGGGATGCTGACTTAGTCTAGAGCTGGCCTTGTAGACACAACTTTTGGACTAGAGGTGTTAATCCTTAGTTGCTAGATTTGAGAAAAGTCTAGAGAGAAAAAAAAAAACAAAAAACGGTGGAGCAACAGGAAGGAAGTTGGTGAAGGTTCACCTGGGGCCTCAGAAAAGCAGTGATTTATCATCAATTCAGAAGTACAACCAACATTTTCTCAGCAGGTAGAGCTGGGCTAGTATGTAACCATTGATCATTATCCCTGCATATAAGTAGTGCTCATCTTCTACTGTGGTCTATGAGCTTTTGCCCTCACCTGTTTTATATTTGTATCCCTAGGTCCCCAAGGCCAGAGTTGAATAAGTCATAAATAATAATTTCAGTGAAGAGAGGAAATATATGAATGTACTAAATAATCCAATGGAAGGCTCTTCCCACCCATGAAGGCTTAATCACATAAAATTTCTTAAAGAAATCAGAATTCTGGCTGGGGATGTGGCTCAAGTGGTAGCGCGCTCGCCTGGAATGCGTGAGGCCCGGGTTCTATCCTCAGCACCACATACAAACAAATATGTTGTGTCCGCCGATAACTAAAAAAATAAATATTAAAAAAAAATCAGAATTGAGGAGTAAAAAGAAGACATAGATGGGAAGAAGGAGGGAAAGCTGTGGTAGAAATTTAATTTATATGCACCTTGTCTCTTCAACTAAGACCAGTGCCTCCATTTTTTCACACTTTTCATAGCTCTCTAGGGAAGCATGAAAGATCAGATGCACTTAAATTTGAGTTGTGTTTTTATTCTTTCTTATTTTTATAAAATGGGCTTTGGCAGCACATTCTTTATTGTCCAGAACAATAGTAAAACTAGTGATTGCTATGAAGTTTATAAAGTTTTTATAACCCAGTGTTCCTTGGCACAGTTCCTTGCTCTGGGTATCATTGTGACATTGCTATATCATGACTGAAAATGATGGAAACAGTTTCATCAAAATATTATTCACAAAGATATATATTTAATTATATTTAAATACCACATGACCCTTAAGCCATGTTGAACTGTAACCTTAATTCATGCAAGTAACTGAATGGTAAGAGGAACAGTATTACCTATTTGCCTTGCAGCAACTCAGTAAGTAGTTTCCTACTTCATATTCAATAGGGGTATATTTCACATAACATATGAAATTGTGGTAATTTTGGAGGGTTATTAAAACAAATATGAAAAATCCTAGAAACAAAAACTTTATAGCTAACTTACTAATATTCGGAGAACTGGTTAAAATTAAATGATAGTTTTCTAAACATACTTTTTAAATACATCTTTATAATTATTTTTAGTTTCTGGATTTTCTAAACAAATTTCTCTGGCTGATATTTTTAACTTTATTGAGAAATCTTATAAGTATAAATATTATATTTTTAAATCTTCAAATTTGAATTTAGGCTAAATAAAAGGAACTTATCAAATAATAAATACTTCCATGTTTTTTTCTTTGAATGTTTGCATTTTTTATATAAAATACAATGTCTTTTATTCAGTTGTGTTTTTAAAAAAAATTCTAGGCAAAACAGTAGTTAATTCAGAGAACAGGTTACATACATGAATTGAACACAGTTACCAAAATAACTAAGAATAAAAATCAATTATTCAAGTCATATTTTTCCTTTCATATCTGCAAATGAATCACCACTATTTTGAATATGTTCAATGTGCTAATATCAGATTCTTGCCTCCCCTATCCCACATCCTGTGGATATCTTCCAGTGACTTCAGAGGAAATTCTGTGGTCAAAAAGATACGCATATGAAAAATAAAAAAATGAGGGTTTCACTTCTAATTGTCATAAAGGAGACCTCAATGAGACTACAAAGACATAAAGTAAAAGGAAACTGGTTTGTGAATGCAAATGTAGGTACTGATACACTGTTAAACACAACAAAATAAAATATAAGATAAAAATCTAAACTTTTTTAAGAGATAAAAGATGAGTGTGACCCTGGTAAAGATTTAAAAACATTCTTACATATCTCTTCTCCAAAGCATCAAAACAACCTTGAATCCTGTCAAGAAATAAACGTTTGATGTCAATTTGGACCACATGAAAAAAAAGTCCAAAATATTGCCAAGTACAGAAGTAGTTTACCCTTTTCCTGCTTTTAAATATATTGAATTGATAACCATTTAACCATTTTACCTTTCCCATTTAATTATTTTTAAATCTCCCAAAATCTTTTAAATGCTTTTAGAACTTTAAGCAATTCTAAGGCAGTGGAACATCTTTTTTTTTCTCTCATAATGTTTATTACACTGAGGTACAAATGATAATAAACAAATCTTGATGTTTTTCTTTATACAAGTTTATTTTCTTTTGAAAACAAATCAGTATCTTAAAATAATCTTAAAGTATTATTGAAGAACTGCTACAAAATTCTAGAATTTTTTTTTTAAAGAAAGAAATGGTTTTAAGGAAATCATCATACTAAATCAAATCTTATGGGCAATTTCGGCTATTATAAAAATTTGTTCAACTTTTTTGAAATTTCAGTTACTTACCATTTGATAATATGCAGTGACCCAGGACATTTTTTGTCTTCTCGAAGAATTTTTAAACTGAGATCTATAAAAATAGAAACAGTCTATTTTCATCTGCTGAGAATGTCCATGCTAGGGTTTTTCCATTATTTTAGTTATATAACTTATTTAGTTTTATGGCCTATAAAACATTTTGAATCTCTAAATATCATTTTAAAAATAAATCCTATGTTGATAATTATATTAGTCCCAATTTGATGACAGTTTAGCAGCCTTTCATGTTTATAACACAGAACAACTGGACTGCAAAATTGATTTGTTACTCTTTACTTCTTTTCAATTTTAAGTAATCATAGTATTGAGACTAACTCCATTGACTAATTTAAAACATACAGCTCAATCTAATTTCTCTCCATCTCACTGAATAAAAAATGAAAAAAAAATTGCATGGATTTTTCTCAAGGTTCTTTTCTTCCCTAAATACTTGGGTTTCAGATGGAAATAATGTTTGGTAATAAAGCCAAGTGTTTAGGGAAGAAAAGAAACATCATATTAAAAGTGTTTTGATTAAGATCAGTCAAAAGTCAATCACTGATTTGTTATAATTTTGTATGAGTCAATTACCTTTTCATATTGTTTTCCTACCCTAAAATAGACATCATCTCTTCTTCAATTGAAGGATATGAAAATCATTCCAGGTTGGCATAACATTTAAAGATTATTAGAAAGAAAATGACATAGGAGAATTGAGCATTTTAATAATGTGGGTTACTTTAAGTACAAATGGTGAGAAGGAGACAAAACTTCTACTATAACTGTCAAAGGAATGGTTTTAACCCCATGTCTAGGATAGTGACTGACATACAATAAGTGCTTAATTACCTAAAACATGTCCTTCACAATTCTATATTATAAATACAAAGAGAAACTGTAATGAGATGCTATATATAAACATATTCACTACTACAGATTTATATACCATAATTTTTTAAAAAGTCATATAATACAAATTAAGTTATCATGATCACAATATCATGCTGATATTGTTTATAGTACACATGCATTTCATTGATGCTTATATAGAGAATTAAATACTACTCAAAAATTAAATTGGAATGAGGCTAAGTTATGCCATTAAATATGAATGTGAGAGAGTTAAATTTAGATTTTGAAAAAATAACATCTTAACAAGGAAACTTGTGGCTCTATTAATTTTCCAAATGACAGTTCCCATTTTAATAACAAATCAAAAAGATCCAAAGTCCAAAATATTAGTGTCTTTTTTTTTTTTTTTTAAAAAGACACTAATATTTTGAAAAACTGAAGAATCCCAGGTACATTTTTTTTTTAATATGAAGGAAGGAAAGGAGCCAGAAATAGCTTATGATACAAGACAATAAGGTGATATGTTTAAGGGCACAAGAAACAAAAGGAGTGAAATTGGCAATTGAGAAAAAGACAGAACTAGTAAGAATAGTAGTTTGTCTAAATATCCATAATAATCAACAAATAGATTTGCCTTTTTCCCCCCAGCATAGTTATATATGTTAATAGGGAGAAGAGTTTTTCACCTGATTCCTTTGAACTTCCTCAAAGAACAAATTCAAATAAGGTGAAAACTAAAGTGAATCTTTAGCATTCAGATCTTGTTCTGGCTATTATTTTACAGGGATAGCTTAGAAATACTACTACGCTTGTCCATACAGATTTATTTTTTTCATTTGTAACTTGTCAGAAGTTAATGTTTCTTTTAAGAAAAACCACTAAAATAGTGAAATTAAAATGGAAAACGGATGAGCAATTTAGTCTTGTAGACCCATGAGTTGCAATTGGTACATTGTGAGAAATGAATTTACTCCTGCTAAATAGAGAAAATGGCTATAACAACCAAAGCAACCATTTTAATTAAATTTTACCATCCAAATGGCGTTCTCCATAAGAACTCTCTGGGAACAGGCCCCTTAGGTATGTTATGCATGAGATAGAAGTAGCAAAAAGTTTCTTCACCATTATCAGTGACTCATGCTCATTAGTGATTTGGGATGGAAAAACTGTTTCCTAGAAAAAAATAAGGTTTAAAACATTAGTATTTTTAAATATATTCATCCCACCAACTATACTATTATCACAGGTAGGATAGAAAGTTTTTTTTACTTCAAATTTGATATATTTAGAGGTAATAAAATGGAAATAGGGCTTTATATTGCATTATATTATGTAGTCAGTGCTAGAGCGCTTGCCTAATGTGGGAGGTTCAATCCCCAACATCTCAAAAGGGGGAAAAAGGAGCTGGGGCTGTGGTCAGCAGAGGTGCACTTGCCTGGCATGTGTGAGGCACTGGGTTCGATTCTTGTTATTAGTAGGTTGCACATTTGTGTACTTTCTTACTCACTACAATTTATTTGTAAATCCAGAACCAACAATTTTTCATTTTTGCAATTATTTACAGATATGCATAGGGCAGCAACAAATTTGTCATCTGAAGCCCATGTTTCCATGTTTACAGTATGAGAGCTGAAATAAAGCCACTCTCTTTCTTCTCAGTTCAGCTATCATACTGTAAACATGTGTACTTTTTTTAGTCTATTTAGTGCCCAATTATTTAACTCTTTTGGGCTTCCTTTTATGATTTTGCTATTTAAAATGGCCCCAAGCATAAGGAAATGCTGATTGATCCCTAAGTTCCTGTGATATCCGTTAGAAAAAAAAATGCATGTGTTAGATAACTTTCATTTAGGCATGAATAAGTGTGTGCATGTGTGTGTGTGTGTGTGTGTGTGTGTATTCACAGATAATTGTGCACATTTGTATAAGCAAGGAAAAAGGTGTAGAAAGAAGCAGGTGAAGTTCTTAACAGCATAACCTCAGAGGGTGATTTAAGGGTAGAAGGATAACAGTAAGGGAGTATAGTAAAATGATTAAGAGGATGACAGTACAAAGAGTCAGGTTTAAGTCCTTATTCTGTTACTAACAAACTGTATGGTCTTGGTCACAGGCCAGAAAGTTTTTCTGTCAAAGGGCCACGTAGTAAATATTTTAGGCTTTGTAGTTGATTTTGCCATTTAGCATGTAGGAAGCTATAGACACTCTTAACTGAATGGGAGTAGGTTATGTTCCAACAAAATTTTATTTACAATGTATGGTGGAAAGTTCCTGATATTTACTTCTCTGCAAACTATTTCTATCATCTGTAAAATATAGATAACAGTGACAATTACTTAAAAATATTTTTTAGTGATACATACTTTGTTGAATTGTTGCTGAGAGTAAATGAGTTAATATTTATAAAGTGCTTAAATAGTGCCTGGTTCAACAGTTTAATATTTTTCATGTATCGTTTCAATTGTTACAACAAGCATGTATTACTCTGATAATCTGTAAAATATTAAATAAAACCAAAATTAAAATAAAGAGAACACTTGAGCCAGGCGCAGTGGTGCATGCCTGTAATCCCAGCAACTCAGGAGGCTGAGGCAGGATCCTAAATTCAAAGGCAGCCTCAGCAACTCACTGAGGCCCTAAGCAACTTAGGGAGACCCTGTCTCAAAATAAAATATGAAAAGGGCTAGGATGTGGCTCAGTGGTCAAGCGACCCTGGGTTCAATCCTCAATACTAGAGAGAGAGGGGGAAGGAGTGGGGGGAGGGAAAAACATCAGTAGCCTCATGGAATTTACAATCCAATCAAAAAGAAAAGACTTGGACATAAAAGAGAAGTTAGCATACCAGACAGCAGAGACTAAGTAGTAAATGAATGGAGAGACACTAGAGGCTCCAGGAAGAGAAGGTGAGCTATTGGTTACCTGAGGCTGGCCCTGAGTATGAAGGCTTTGTAGGCAAAACGAGACCTAGTTGGGTCCTGAAAAAAAGGTAGGATTTGAACAAGTGGCAAGAAAGAGGAATACAATTAGTCCAGGCAAGGAAGCAAGAATGCTGTGACACATCTGGGACACAGGTATCAGGTTGAAATCGTGATGCTGAGAGTTCAAGCAGGGTATAATGGGAATAAAAAGGGGGAAGGACATAGAAACCAAGATGTAGCAAATCTAGAATGCTACATAAAAAAAAATTGTATTTAATCCTTAAAGAAACAGGAAATTCCTGAAACTTGGATAGGGAAGTTTTCTTCTATTATTAAATGCTTGAGTTAAAAAACATCTACAGCTCTAGGACCACCAGAAGTATCTTATATGTGTAGCAAAGTAGTAGTCCTCAAATCTGATGAAGTTCTTTAAAAATTTTTATTTTTTAAAAATTTTAGCCAGGCTCAGTGGTGCACGCCTGTAATTCCAGCAGCTTGGGAGGCTCAGGCAGGAGGATCGCGAGTTCAAAGCCAGCCTCAGCAAAAGTGAGGTGCTAAGCAACTCATTGAGACCTTGTCTCTAAATAAAATACAAAATAGGGCTGAGGATGTAGCTCAGTGGTGAAATGCCCCTAAGTTCAATCCCTGGTACCCCACTTTCCAAAAAAAGATTTAAAAAATTTTACATATGATATATATATATATATGATAGTTACACAGAGTATAACTTATTCTAATTAGGATCCCATTCTTGCATTCTTGTGGTTGTGTATGATGTCGAGTTTCACTGGTCGTGTACTCATATATAACAGGAAAGTTATGTCTGATTCATTCTACTCTCTTTCCTATTTCCATCCCCCACCCTTTCCTTCATTTCCCTTTGTGTAATCTAATGCTTCTATTCTTCCCTCCTCCCGCTCCTTATTATGTGTTAGCATTCACATATCAGAGGGAACATTTGGCCTTTGGTTTTCTAGGATTGGCTTATTTCACTTCGCATGATAGTAACCAGTTCCATCCATTTACCAGTAAATGCCACAATTTCATTTTTCTTTATGGCTGAGTAATATTCTACATTCTCTTTATCTATCCATCTGTTGAAGGGCATTTAGGTTGGTTCAATAGCTTAGATACTGTGAACTGAGTTACTATAAACATTGATGTGGCTGTTACTATAATATGCTGATTTTAAGTCCTTTGGGTATATGCTGAGGATAACTGGGTCAATTGGTGGTTCCATTCCAAGTTTCCTGAGGAATCTTCATACTGTTTTCCATGGTGGTTACAGCAGTTTGCAGTCCCACTAGCAATTTCCTCGCCAACATTTACTGTTACTTGTATTCTTGATAATTGACATTCTGACTGGGGTGAGATGGAATCTCAGTGTAGTTTTGATTCGCATTTCATTAATTGCTAGAGATGTTGAATATTTTTTTATATATTTGTTGACCATTCATATTTTTTCTTCTGAGAAGTGCCTATTCGATGCCTATTCTGTGAAGTGCCTATTCAGTGCCTATTTAGTGCCCATTCATTGGTTGGGTTATTTGTTTTTTGGGTGTTAAGTTTTTTGAATTCTTTATATATCCAGGAGATTAATGCTCTGAGGTGCAGGTGGAAAAGATTTTCTCCCATTATGCAGGCTTTCTCTTTATATTCTTGCTTGTTTCCCTTGCTGCAAAGAAGCTTTTTAGTTGGATACCATTCCATTTATTGATACTTGATTTTACTTCTTGTGCTCTAGGAGTCTTACTGAGGAAGTTTGTTCCTAAGACAACATAATGGAGATGCAGGCCTACATTTTCTTCTGGTAGCCATAGGGTCTCTGGTCTAATGCTTACTTAGGTCCTTGATCTACTTTGAATTGAGTTTTGTGTAGGGTGAAAGATAGGAGATAAATTTCATTTACTGTATATGGATTTCCAGTTTTCTCAGCACCATTTATTGAAGAGGCTATCTTTTCTCCAATGTATGTTTTTGGTGCCTTATCTAGTATAAGATAACTGTATTTGTGTGGGTTTGTCTCTGTGTCTTCTGTTCTATTGGTCTTTGTGTCTATTTTTATGCCGATATTTTGCTGTTTTTGTTACTGTAGTTCTGTACTATAAAATCTGGTATTGTGATGCCTCCTGCTTCACTTTTCTCACTAAAGATTAGTTTGACCATTCTGGGCCTCTTATTTTGCCAAATGTATTTCATGACTGCTTTTTCTAGTTCTGTGAAGAACATCATTGGAGTTTTAATAGGAATTGTATCAAATCTGTATGGTATTAATTCTGCCTATCCAAGAACATGGGAGGTCTTTGCATCTTCTAAGACCTTTTTCAATTTCTTTCTTGCATTGTAGAGATCTTTCACCTCTATTGTTAGATTGATTCCCACTATTTTTTTTGAGGCTATTGTGAATGGGATAGTTTTCCTAATTTCTCTTTCAGCTGATTCATCACTGGTGTATAGGAACACAATTGATTTATGGGTGTTATCTTGTTACTTTGCTGAATTTATTTATGAATTCTAAAAGCTTTTTGGTGCAGTGTTTTTGGTCTTCTAAATATAGAATATTGTTGGCAAATTGGAGTAGTTTGAGGTCTTCTTTTCCTATTCATATCTTTTTAATTTTTTTTGCCTAATTGCTCTGGCTAGGGTTGATGAAGGTTTTTTAAAAATAAATGACAGCAGAATGCATTACGATTCTTATTGCACACATATACCACAATTTTTCATATCTCTGGTTGTATATAAAGTATGTTGACACCAATTTGTGTCTTCATATGTACTTTGGATAATGATGTCTATCTCATTCCACCATCCTTGCTAACCCCCTTTCCCTCCCACCCCTCTGCCCTATCTAGAATCATCAGTTCTTCCCATGTTCCCCTTCCCTACCCCATTAAGAGTCAGCCTCCTTATATCAGAGAAAATATTCGGCATTTGTTTTTTTTGGGGATTGGCTAATTTCGCTTAGCATTATCTTCTTCAATGCCATCCATTTACCTGCAAATGCCATGATTTTACTCTCTTTTATTGCTGAGTAAAATTCCACTGTGTATTTATGCCACATTTTTTAAATTCATTCATCCATTGAGGGGCATCTAGGTTGGGTCCACATTTTAGCTATTGTGAATTATGCTGCTATAAACATTGATGTGGCTGTGTCCTTGTAGTATGCTGTTTTTAAGTCTTTTGGGTATAGATCAAGGAGAGGGATAGCTGGGTCAAATCGTGGTTCCATTCCCAGATGATAAAGTTATTTTTAAGACCAAGTCATACTTATAAGCTTCTATTACCAGCAAGCCTCAATATGATAAAATACAAATTTGGTTAGGTTCTGGGGATTCCAAAACTTGTGACAGAATATACTTTACCTGTTACAATTGTAGTGAGACTACACTAACATAGATGAAATTATTTTTAATACTTATGTGGCCTTAATAATAAATAGGCATTTATCTTCAGATTAAGGTCGAGAAAATTAGTTGGGTAGATCTACCCTCAATCCTTTTTTTAGGCCTTGCACAGCATTTTAAAACTGAAAGGCTCTTTGAGTTAATCTAATAAAATGTACTCATGCCTCAGGTGCCAAAAAGAAACCTAGGAAATAAATTATTTGCCAGATCATAGAGCTAGCAAGTGACTGAGATCCTTTTACTATATAACACAATTCTACTGCTTAAGTTTTATAATTCTGTCACACAGAAGCAGAAACTACCCCTCAACAGGTCTTTAGATGAAAAAGAACTTCCCCAAAGCTTTTCTATATCCATAAAAATGATTTTAGAATGTACAAAAGACATTCTAGATGTAATTATGATGCATAAGAATGCAAAGTTTTAAAATTATGATGACAGCAAATCTTTTCCTGGCACAAATAACACTTGTTTGGAAAAGGTGTGTGTGTAGTGGGGGAATGCAAGTGGGTGATTTTCCTATTTTATTAAAAATAAAAGGAAGACAACTCTACAGTTTTTTTCTTTTTCTTCCAGCTCCCAGTGTGTAATGTTAAATATTAGCCCTAGACAGGCATATATACATATATACAGACCTAGTCTCTAAAACTGCTTGGCAAATTCAAAATCAACTGCATTGTCTTACTGTCCACTTCCTGTCCTTCCCCTTCCCTGTCTATAACTATTTATAAAAGACTCAGAAGTAAAAAGAGGTCAGGAGGTTTTTAAGTGGCTAGTGAGACCAGATAAAACGATGTCTTATGCAATAGAGACAACCACCAAAAAGTCCTCCTAGGACACAATCCATCAATTATGTGGAAAAACCCGAAGTTTCAACAGTGTACACTGAAGCACTTGGCTGACTGATTCCTCTCACCTTCCCCAAAAGTTTCCACTTCCATTTAACAGGGGACTTTGTGAAGCCCAAAGACCTTCCAATGGATAGTTTCTAGCTGACTGGCAAAAGCTTTAGCTTCTCCCAACTGTTACTTGGACCCCATCCCCTTCCTAAGAAAACAGAGAGACCATAAGCGCAGATTAACAAAAGTGAGAAGGAAACTGGGCTTGGACCTGCCACTGCTCATCATTGGGGAGTCACTCCAGGGAGAGTTTTTTCTACCTCCCTTCTTTGCTGCTTGCAGCTGCCACCCCTTTCCTTCCCACCAAAGGTTCTGAAAGTCTCAAAAGAGGTGCCCAACTTAAAGAAAGACTTAAAGATACTCCTACAACCCCTGTAGTTCTGGGTTCCCTCTCGTCTAGCCAGAACAAACTACCTTGCCTATTCTGTCCTCTGCCATCTATCTTCATAGTGAATAAACTACTCAACAAAACACACATACCCACCTAAATCCCTAACCCTGTAATATTACTAGCAAATCAACAAAACAAAATATAAGTAATCCTCATCATTACACAGATGAGATTGGTTGTTGCTGTCCTTGTACAACTGGTTAAGGAAAAGGAAATTATTCTACAATTTCTGAGGAATCCAAATTCTGTCTCTAATAAAATCAGAATAGAATGGGGCAAAGGGTTATAGATGAGGATCAAGAGAGAAGAATGGAGAAAAGTATTTACAGAAAATAGAGAGGAAGGAGTGTCCATAAGAAAAACCTTCATTGTCACTTCTTGGCAGCCCTCTTGGCACTGGACTTGGCTTTGGGCTTCACTGGTTTGGCCTTCTTGGGTTTGGATGCTTTGATGGGCTTGGCTTTGATAATCTTGTTTTTTTTTTTCTTGGGTGTGGCAGCCAGCTTCCTCTTGGCCTTCTTGACTGGGGGTGCTTTGGGCTTCTTGCTGGGGCTTCGGAGGCAGCCTTCTTGGCATAGCCACCTTCTTGATTTCTTTTTTGACTTCTTTGGCATAGCCACCTTCTTGATTTCTTTTTTGATCTTTTTGGAGGCCACTGACCTCTTGGGCTTTCCACTCTTGGCCAAACAGAAGGACCCTGAGGCACCATCCTTTTGGTTTGATTGAGGACATTGGTGGTTCTCAGATGCTTGATGGACAACTAGATCTGGGAGTTGGTGTTCTTACCCATCTTATAGAGACTCTTGTTATATTTCCAGATGGATTTTCCCAAGGAGCCAGTGCTGTTCTTCTCAGCCTGGATGGCAGCCATGATCATTTCTGAATACATGGGGTGGACTGTGGATTTCTTGGAGGCTTTCACCCACGTGGGTTTGGCTGTAGGACATGGAGTTCTCAGTCATGGTGACCCACCTGGTCCTGCTGTTGAAGGCACCTTCCAAAGGACTAGCCCTTGTGGAAGGCTGAATAAAGCCTGACTTGGGATCTGCTCTTGGTCCCCTGACCATCAGGCCAATCCGGATTCTGGCTATCGGGGATGAGGGTGAGGGATCACTTCTTCTTGCCCAGCCAGCTCCTCATGGCTTGCTCGCACCCGTGTGCACTTGGGTCCGGCATCTGGCTCCAGCTGTGGCTTAGGCCTGGGTTTGGGTTTGGGTTTGGACTCCTGCTCCTGCTCTGCCTCCACTTCTACTTCCCTTTTCTCAGCTCTGCACCTCAAGAATGCCTCTTGTTTGGTATACTACACAGAGAGTGGTAATGAATTACCATTTCATTCTTTTTGTCAAAGCATAGTACATACAGTTGTTAAAAGTTATATAAAACATCATTAATTTTGCATGAAACATGTATTGAGGTATGTGTTTGTGTGTAAAATTTTTGAAAAAATTGCTTTTTGTATCTATAGATCTTGATGAATTAAGGTTCTTTTAAGTAATTGGGTAGTAGCTGGCATAGCATGCATGTATTAACTTATTGAAAACAATCCAAAATGTAGAGGCAATACTTGAATAACATATTTATAAAACTGAATAATTTGAAACTATGAAGATATTTTACACTAAATGTGCAATTTAAAAGTAATAATAATAATAATTTGTAGTAATGAAGATCAATGGTTGGTAAAGCCCCCTACAGTTTGTTACGATAGGGATTTTTTTTCCCTCTGCTCAGCTGGTATAATACTTCAGGATTGTTATTGGTAGTTTTATAAATGTCTAATATATTATATATTTCATATCAATATATGAAATATATTTCTTCCACACTTAGGTAAATATGGGTATATCAACTTACTGTCTATAAATCTTATTATCCTAAACAGATAATAAACTTTTGGAAGATAAAATTTTAGTTTTGTCTGTTTGCTTGATTTTGGTGTTCTCTTAGAAAATAAAACACTATTACATATATTTTATAATATTGAATCTCAATGAATGATGTATTAATAAAGGTTTTAATCCAGCAAGGTTGCCTGGTCTTGGCATGCATTCTATTATGGTTTGGATCTAAAATGTCCCCCCAAAGTCCCATATGCAAAGGACTTGGTTGCCAGCCTATGGTGCCATTTGGAGGTGGTGGAATCTTTAGGAGGGGGGCCTAGTAGGAAGAAATTAGGTCATTGGGTGTATGCTCTTGAAAGGAATATTGGGATCCTGGCCCTTTTTTCTCTTTTTCCTTGCTTCCCAGCCACTGAAATGAGCAGCTTTACTCTACCACATGCTTCAAGCCATGATGTTCTGCCTTGCCAAAGGTCTTGAATCAATGGAGCCAACCAACTATGCACTGAAACCTCTGAAACCATGAGTCATAATAAATTCTTCCCTCTTTTTAAATTGATTATCTCAAGTATTTTGTCACAGCAATGGAATGCTGACCAACACACTCCCCTAGGCTCCTAACATCTGCATTTCTCTCAGTGCTTTACCCTCTAGTTCCTCTAATTACATCACCATGTGCAGCACAAATTTCCTAATTGCTTCAGGAGATGAATGTCTAACAAAGAACCAGTCTCTTAAAATGCCTTTTAGTTCTGATTTCTTTTACTCTAGAAGACAGAAATATTTCAACATGAAATAAGCACCCAGTCAATAACTTTGTGATCTATTTTAATTTCCCAAATATCCCAAATCCATTAGACAATTAAAATGTAGACATATTCTCCAAGAATATTATGTGCCAATGATAAGTGGTAAAATTGTTTCAATAAAAAGCAAAGATTAACATCTTGATTCTGAAGTGACACAATAAATGGTCATTGATTTTCTTTTAACTTCCAACAAATACCTTAGATGCCTTGTGAATTCTGATGGAATGAGAGAGTTGAGCAGTAGCCATTTGTAAAAATGTTTCAGGATTCTTTCAATAATTAAAACCTGTTGAAAAAAATTAATTAGAGATCTTGTCTATCATAGTATTTTCTATTTTATTCTTCCTAAAGGTAGAACTGAAAGATAAATGAAAAACTAAAATCAAGGACAGTTAAGTATAAACTATTTCTTAGATTGTTCAGTTAGAGAGAAGCTGACCAAGCTTAATTTTGAAAACATAAAGGAAGAATGAATACTACAATAGTGCTATCAGGCCTTATCCAAACTATAAAATAAATTTGAATCCTTATTGAGAATTTTCCAAAGAATTACATAAGTTGTAGTTGAATATAATCTTTGGAAAAATAAGTTTTTAATTTTTTTCTTGGTTTTAGTTGGACACAATACCTTTATTTTATTTATTTATTTTTGTGTGGTTCTGAGGATTGAACCCAGCACCTTGCACGTGCTAGGTGAGTGCTCTACTGCTGAGCTACAACCCCAGCCCCAGCAAATAAGTTTAATAAACATTTATTTTCCACTACTCATTTTCTATAAATTTAGCATAAAGTCACTGGATTAATTTTTTAAGCTACCCAATTAAAATCATATGATGATTTATTCATTCACAAACACATACTGAGGAGAAAAATAAGTTATAAACCACGAGAGTCAATAAAATATTTTGCTCATCCTTGTTATTTCCCTTAGAGTTTAATACAGCTCTGTATATAGCAGGGGCTGAAAAACATTTCTTGAATTAACTTCAGATGTAATTTATTTGCAAATTCCAAATTCAAAAGATAATGTGTATACTTCATATCCATTACAATGACTACTCAAAAAGATGGAAAAGAGTGTTAGTGAAAATGTGAAGAAATTAAAAACTGTATGCGTTGCTGGTGGGAATGTAAAATCGTCCATCCTTGTGGGAAACAGTATGGCAGTTCCTCAAAAATTTAAACAGAATAACCTTAATAACCAGCAATCCAATTTCCAGGAAGATAGCAAAAAAAAAAAAAAAAAAAAAGTTGAAAATGAAGGTTCAGATTCTTGTAGACTAATGTTCATAGCAGCATTTCAAAATACTCAAAAGGTAAAAACAACACAAATGCCTATGAATAAATAAATCAATATTGGGAGCAGTGGCATGCACCAATAGTCCTAGCTATTGAAAAGGCTGAGGTAGTGAGGTAGGAGGGCTATTTAAGCCCAGGAACACATAACAAGAACCTATTGCAAAGAAAGTAGGAAGAAAGGAAGGAAGGAAGGGAGGGAGGAAGAAAAGAAGGAAGGAAAAGAAAGGCAGATGAATAAACAAAATGTGGTATACATCAGGGAATATATGTTTAGAAAGGATTGAAATTCTGATACATGCTACAATATAAAGAACCACAAAAACATGCAGAGTGAAAAATTCTAGACACAAGACAAATATGTTATAATTTTATAGATTATGTACCAACAGTTGGTAAATTCATGGAAAATATAATAAAGGTTATCAGGGGCTGGGGGGATTAAAAAAGGGGAGTAAATGGATAGGGTTTTTTTTTGGGGGGGTGACGAATAGTTTTGGAAATGGATAGTGGTGATGGCTGCACAACATAGTGAATGTAGTTAGTGCCACTAAATTGTACACCTGAGAATGGGTGAGGTGATGAGTTTTATGTTAAATATAGTTTACCATAATAAAAAAGCTAAGGTTTAGAATATCTGGTTTTCACCTCTTTTGCTTCATGAACATAAAACAAAAGCAAATCTTCCCTTTTCTTTCCAGAAGCCTTATTTAATTTCATTTGGAGCTTATTTTCATGGTTTTATGGAGTTCTAAAAGATTTGTGAAATAACTCATCTGAAGAAATTTCATTTTGGAGCACCCAGGATAGGCTGTGACCTATTGTATTATCAATTGACACAAGATTCTGGAAGATTTTTGCCAAAAAGTTGAAGATTACTGCCACAAGGTGGTGATAGAGATTATAAATAAGTAACATTAAATTTCTCTCTTCAGAGCAGCAGTAGGGAATACTGTATTACAATATTTTATATGAGGCAGTAAACCACCCAATAGTCTTTTAGTCTTTAAGCTTCCACAGTACCATTTATTGACTTCAGAGTATAACCTCAAATCTTACTTAACAGATCGGTTGCCTCCCTTAAATTTCAAGAATTAAAATGAGGAGAGGGTAAAAGTAGCAATAAGAATTTCTATCTAATTCTAGCCCATTAAACCATTATCCCCCACTGGGTGGTAGTTATTAGATTTAGTGACAATAAGAGGAACAATGATTTTTAAATAGCTTTCTATATTGGTGGGGTTCTTTTTATTTCTCTATGATCATAAGCTATTCTAATGGCCTATCGAGAGAAACAAGCCCTGAAAATAGCATCAGCCAACTAAAATATAATGCATTACTACACCTATATTTTACAATGTATAAATGGCCTATATTAAACTCATATTAAAGACATGCAGGGCATTTGCTTTTCAGAAAGGATTCAAATTAGGCTTTTTTAGTATTTGGTAATTTCCTAAGGAATCAATATTTATAAGATGAATAAAATTAAAATTTATACACACAAATATATGTATGCTGAGAAAAATAACCAGCATAATAACACAGTAGAAAGAGGCATTGGAGTTAAGGAACCTGAATTCAAATTCTGACTCAACTACCTAGCAGTCATGTGACTCTAGACAAATTACTTAATGTCTCTGGGCTTTAAAATCCTTTTTTTTTTTTGTAAAATGGAGGCAATTGCACCTACTTTCCAGGCTTGTTCAGTGTTCTATCTGAGCATGTGTTTATCTGGAGAGGTATCACAGCACCTTATTTAAGGACATGAACTCTAGATGAAGGATAGCTTCACTCAAATGCAGCATAAGTGAGTTGAAAAGATTAATGAAGTTGGAAGACAACATAGAATCCTTTACTACCAATCCAACCTCTTCATTTTAAAGAAGAGGAAAGTCAATTTAGTGGAGGAAGGATAGTTTTTTCAACAAATATTGCTAGAATTAAAATGATATACAGAGGGTGGGGGAGGGAGAGAAAGGGAAAAAGAGAAAGAAAAGAACCTCAACCTAAAATTCAACAATATACAAATATTAATTAAAAATGAATTATGGATTTAAATGTAAAACATATAACCATAATGAAAAAGAAAGTGAAGTTCAGCAAGGAGACTTGGTTTACCAAAGTTCACCCAGTGATTTAGACCTGTCATTTAGAGCTTGCTTCAATAAATTATTATTCACTGGTTCAACACATTCCATTTGCCCCTAATAATTCTGCTACTCCATGCTCGTTCAGAGTAAAAGATTTCCACTGCATTAACTGGGTATTTGTTGATACTCTTTTGATCTTGCATAACTTTTTCATGCTACTTCAATGGTTCATGCAACATTCACCAGGCAACTGCGATGTGCCAGGCATCATCCTGCAGGATTACAAACTCTAAGACGTTTCCCATCTCAAGGGAATTAGAGTCAATGGGGGCAAAATGGGAGTATCATCCTAACGAGTTTTTTTTCCCCCCCTCAAACAAGGTTTAAAACCCCAACTAGGGGGCAACAACCAAGCTTTTCCTTCGTTTTCATCAGGTGAGCACAGCTAGGCCATTGGCTAATCTTGAGGGTTTTTTTTTTTTTAATTTCAAATTTTTAACTTCTAATTGATTTTTTAAAGATAAATGACAGCGGAATGCATTCCAATTCTTATTACACATATAGAGCACAATTTTTCATATCTCTGGTTGTATATAAAGTATGTTCACACCTGGCGACACTGGCTGCCTTGTCCTATTAGGACGACTGTAGTCCACAGAGATTAAAGGCAAATTCTCCATAAAGTGAAAGAGGAACCCAGGTCATTCCCCGGGGACTGGTGGCCACCTCTCTCATATCTTGGTCTGCACCAGGCATCGGTTCCAGGCCGAACACGTCAATGGCTGGAGAAAGCCTGACCAGGTGAAGGAAAACCCCCAAAGCTCCACACGCGCCTCCTTCTAGTACACAGCCGGCGGCTGCCTCGCGGCAAATTAATGGCTGCGTTTCCTCGCCCAGACCCATCCCTCCGGCTCCTCAAAAGTATGAATTTTAAAGTTACTGGACGGTGGGGATGCGGGTGTTCCCACCCCATTTGTATTTCCTTCTCCGTCTCCTTTTTTAAATGTATGAAAATTTTCCTCATCAAAAGTCGGGGGAGGGGCTGGGGTTGTGGCTCAGAGGTAGATCGCTCGCCTACCATGCGTGAGGCCCTGGGTTCGATCCTCAGCACCACTTGAAAATAAAGACATTGTGCACACCTATAAGTAAAAAATAAACATAAAAAAAAGTCGGGGGAAGTTACCTATAGCCTCCCCTGGGCCGCCTCCTCAGCCCCGGCGTTTCTGCTTCTCCTCGGAAAATGTTTGACTCTGCGAAATACTTTAAAATCAAACAGAGGCTCAAACAAGAAGAAAAGAAAAACGTTTTTAACACGAAGAACACAGGACTAACAACGCCCAAGCGTCCTTTCTCAAGAGACCTGGGCTCTGAACAGCTCTCACCTTAGCGGGTCAACGCCTCCCTCTCACCCGCACTCAACGGCTCAAACAAGCCCTCTCAGGCTCAAGAATAATCAGCAAAGGCTTCCTGGGCGGGGTCAGATATTTCCTCATGAATAATGCATTTTTCCTCCACCGACCGCGGGAGGCGTAGCAAAGCCAAATGAATATGCAAAGCAGGGGCGTGTGGCAGCTAATGCTCGCCGGCTGGAAGGCGGGGCCCCCCTCGGCTCACAGCTGAGTTCCGGCGCCGGCTCTAAGTGCCGCTCTCCCGCAGCTAGAGCCACTTATCTCCTCACTTCCTAGGGCTCGCGCCGTGCTCCGGGGTTAGAGGGACCGGCACGGAGCTCGTGCTGCCTTGGGAGCTGGGGGCGCGGCCAGGGACCCGCACCGAGTTCTCGGGGCCTCGGGAAGCTTGCGGGCGGACCTGGTCTGTCTGGGCAACCGGTAGAATGAGAACGGCCTGTTCGGGGGCTCCTACAGGCGGTGCCTGCCCGCCGAGGTGAGGCGGCCGGGCTGGGTGGGGGTGAGGTCCCGGGGGACTTTGGGGCCCATAGACGGGCCGCTGCGAGGCGGGGTCCCAGAGAGGTCCCAGGCCAACGCAGGGCTGAGGGAGCCCGGGCCGGATAGATCTTGGAGGGGTCTGGCGTTGAACAGAAGGACGGGTTAGGGATCCAAAGGGCAAAGTTCCTCAGTTTTCCAGGGCATCTCCCACCTCTTTCCTGCTAGTGACTTACTAGGTATTTTCAACTTTAGTGTGTAATTATGCAAACTAAAAAGTCTACATGGATTCTCCTTATCCAGTCCTGAGCTCAGTCCCTTCCTCAGAGGTAACCCTTGGCAGCTGCAGGACCTGGTTTCCCCACGGCTTTTCCCATGTGTCTAAGTACATCTTTTCTAACCTGGACAACTTTCCAAAGCTTCTTGGAGTCCTTTCAGCTTCTGCAATGGGATTTCCTGAGACAATGGAGTAAAGAGTGGGCCACTTGACAGCTAGCTGTTCTTATTTTGTTCCTGCCGGAAAGAAAAAAGATCCAAGCTGCTGAGAACAGGAGTTTCAGAAAAATGAGATATTATATCCCATGTGATTCAAATGTATGATATGTCAAGGTCATTGTACTGTCATGTGTAACTAATTAAAACAAACAAACAAACAAAATAGAATGAAGAAAACTGTAATTTCCAATGAAATACTCTCTCCTAGCAGGTTTTTGCAATCTCAGCACTAATATCATCCTTCTCCTCAGTCCTGACAATCAAAGCTGCCTCCAGTCTTGGCCAGAAGTTCCCTGGGGAGCAAAATCACTTTCAGTTGATTACTGCTTTAATCCTATACTTCCCAGAAGTAACTGCTTTTGAAGCTCCGACCACACACATAGATGGTCTTGTTCCATTCCAATGGACCACTGGCTCCTCTATGCTGGCTGTCCTAATTGTCACCTGTCTTCGGGTCTGAGCTCAGTCAACTTATACCATGTCCAAAAACCTTCTCCCTTGCCCCTTACTAATGGCAATCCTTCCCACTCAATTATTTTCTCTCACTTTTTATTATTCTGTTTCCTTCACAGAACTTATGTCAACCTAGATTTCATTTATCTGTTAACCTGTTCTTCTTTCTTAACCATAGTCTATAAATAAGCTGCGTCAGAGGCCTGAATTACCACCCCAGGATTCCCAGTACTCAGCACAGTACCCAGCAGACAATGGGTATTAAAAAAAAATATTGGTGGACTGAAAAAATAATTTATCCTCTCTTTCTTCTAGTTGCTTCTGTGAAGTTTCTCTTACTCTTTCCCCTGCTCATTCCTTGCTGATCTCCTTGAGACTTTTGTTTAGAATCTGAATGGATGAATGAGCACCTGACCCTGGCCCTGCAGTAGGAGCTATGGGTAAAGCGTTCACCTTTCCGACTAGCTTATCAACTCATTGAGGGCAGGAGCTGCTTAATTTCATTTTATTTGTTATATTCATGGAAGGTTTTCAATAGATAATTGAGTAAACTAACTCAAACAATTTCCCAGCTTCTGCCCCTACATCCACCCTTTTAGTGATAAGAGACTGAAAATCCTCGCTTTCAAAGCAAAATGTCTTGTTTAGGGATGGGGAAATGTGTATTGCACTAGAAGTTGATCATTATTCATGAAAGATGTCAAAATTCTCCGGTTGTTAAAAGTTTTTCCAAAACTTATTATACACATAGTAACAGGCAAAACAGGTGAAAGGAGGACAGGGAGGAAAATCTTATTTGAGGTGACTTTCACTGGCTGGATTTAATTAGTTATTTTGAGATGAGGTCTTACTGTGCTGCCCAGGCTGATCTTGAATTCCTCAGTTCCAGTGGTCTTCCATCCTCATCCTCAAAAGTGCTAGGATACAAGCAGGTGCTACTGCACCCAGATTCACTGGCAAGATTTTCTCTTTCCACTTTAGAAACATCTGTGTCATGTGACTGTATCTGATACAGTCATATGACACAGATGTTTCTAAAGACACAGTCTCTAATCATTGGCCCTTAATCTTTGAGTGCTAAGGATGATTTTTCATTCTCAGTTAATAGGAATTCATGGTTCTCTCTTTGATCTTAATAATTTTATTTGGCAACACGTGTTAATAGAATCTTGTGGAGTCAGGCTCTCAGCTTTTAGAATCTCAGAGGTTCTGCTGAGAAACCAGACAACACATTGTGATACAATAAACAGCTCACTTTTGCCTACTTAAACCAATCAGAACTTTGCCCATCAAGTTCAGATAAATCTTGGATATCTTCTCCAAAAGATGGGATACTTGAGACTTTTCAAAACACACATATTGAATAGAATGTGTCCCCAGGACATCTCTAGAGGTGTCCCTGTTCAGTGTGATTATGCACACTGAGAAGAGATTGGTTAGAAAGAAGCTAAGTAGGAAGGGTGGTTTATTTTTTGCTATTTGCTTTCAACTTTCAATAGAACTCCTAAAATCAATATAACTTCCAGTTATCAAAAGCTGACACCACTGTATTTGTCCATTCATCAAGCATTTACTTTATACTACCATTTTATAAAGCATTCCATTTGGTACCATATGGATCAGAGACATAATGACTTGGTCCCTGAGCTGTGGGAGATTATGGTGTAGTGAGAGAAGGAGACTCATAAACATATTCCTTACATGGAAAATAGTGATTAATTTGAATTGTCAACTTGGATTAAGAGATGCTGAAGATTAAGAGGCTTCTGGATGTGTCAATGAGAGTGTGTCTAGGAATGATTGGCACGTGGGATAAAGAACTACAGTAGGGACCCTCCCTAAGTGTGGGCAGTACTGACAATGGGGTGTTGGCTTGGCTGGAATAAAAAATTGGAAGAACAAGGAAGCAGCAGTAGATGCAAGCTTGATTCTTCTAGAAGGGACTCTTGATTGCTACCGCAATTGCCTGAGGATATCAGAATCTTGCTCCTTCACTCTTCCAAAGTGGACTCTGCCAGTGATCCTCCAGGGAGTTTCCAGAAGCCTTAAGTCTTGGACTAGGATAGCACTGTGTATCCCTCTTGTTATGAGGCTGTTGAACTGCACATCCACTGGGCTATTGGTTCCTCCAGCTGTCCAACCTGCTGAAGGCCATTGTGAAATATCCAGCTTCTGGTCGTGTAAGCCTACCTAATAAATCCTCTTTTTATAATCATACCTCCTGTTGATTCTGTTCCCGTAGAGACTCTGACTAATACAAATATTTTGCAAATACTAGTGGAAGTAGAAAGCATATGATAGTGTGTAGAGAAGGAAGCCATAAGTTCTGAATAGGGAATCAAGACTTACCTCTCCTCTTAGCCATGAGTAGGGTACTGGGATTGTAAAAGCAACATTTAGCTCTCAGGAGCATTGTTGACAGGAAAGAAAAGGTCTTATACTTCCTTTCCTTTCCTGATTCTAAAATGGTGGGCAAAATGTTTGTTTCTATTGGTTTGAAGTAGTCTAACCATTGCCAAAGAACAAATAAAGGAAATTATATAGGCATGTTCTTCTCCTAAAATGCCACTTCCTTTGTGAAGCTGTCTTGATTCTTTGCTGAACTTCACTTTCTTTTTCCTGCTTTTTTCATCCTTGACAACCCCCCTTTTTTTTTCTGCATCAGGTTTTCCTTTAGCTCGACAGGCAGCAATATTCTTTTTGAATTTTTCCTTCGGCTTAGCAGCTTTCTTTTCATAAGGCTGCTTAGCATCTGCAGCAATGTTATTCTACCTCTCTCCCAGTTTCTTTGCAACATCACCAATAGATAGGTCAGGATTTTCTCCTTTGATTTTTGGGTGATACTCAGAACAGAACAAGAAGAAAGCCGATGGAGGCCTCTTGGGTGCATTGGGATCCTTGAATTTTGTTTTTGTTTCCCCTTTAGGAGGGATATAAGTTTTCATTTCTCTTTCAAAATGGGCCTTGTCTGCCTTTGCCATGTCTTCAAATTTCCCCCCTTTCTCTTTAGCAGACATGGTCTTCCACCTCTCTGAGTACTTCTTAGAAAGCTCTAAGAAGTTGACTGAAGCATTTGGGTGCTGCTTCTTATGCTCCTCCCAGGAAGTTTGCACAAAGAATGCATATGATGACATTTTGCCTCTCAGCTTCTTAGTGTCTCCTTTGCCCAGGTTTAATTATTCTTCAAAGTTGCCCAGTGCCTGTCGAGCTCTCACTTGCTGTCTCTATGGAACTCAATGTACTGCAATGGTTGTAAGAGTGAGAGCCACACACTATCTCGGCTCTGTAACATTCCCATGATCCATTTTATGTTAATATTTGTACATGGTGTGAGTTTTAGCATGAGGTTCTTTTTTTTCTCCTTTCCTTCCTCTGTTCCTTTCTTTTTCTCTCCTTCTGCCTGGGACATCCTCTTGTTCTTACATTATTTGTTGAAAAGACTATCCTTCCTCCATTAAATTGACTTTCCTTTTCTTTAAAATGAAGGGATTGAATTGGTAATAAATGAAATCTCTGCTTCCTTACAGCTTTATGAATCCTTTTAATCCATTTATGCTGATATGCATTTCATTTAAGCAAAACTGTTCTTCATATCATACATATGCAAAGAAGGTCATCTAAGGTGGGGTTGTGCCTCAGTGGTAGAGCACTTACCTGGCACGTTCGAGGCCCTGGGTTAGATCCTCAGCACCACATTAAAAAAAAATAAAATAAAATGAAGATATTGTGTTCAACTACAACAAACAAACAAATAAATGTACATAGTTGCAGTTCAAAATCTATCTGTTGTGTATAATTAATTTATAGAGGATTTTCTTGTAAAAATATAGTTTTGGAAGTTTGGGAAAGATGTATAGAAATCTTTAGTATATAAAAATTATTGTAATATCAAATATGATTATTTTTTGAACGGATCTAATAAGCTTTGGGTTTTGCTTCACTTGAAATGGCAAAAAATATGGTTTAGGTCTCAATAAACACAATGGCAGCTGGTTAATCTTTTTCTGATAATCTTGGATTCACACACAGAAGGAGTAAAATAGTAAGTAATTGTGCCACCATTTAAAATAAAGTATTTGATACACCACAGTGAATCTCAACATGTGTACATGCATGAGACTGTGATCCTAATTAGAATAAGATATATTCCATGCTTATGTAAATATATCAAAATAAATTCTACTGTCATGTATAAAAAAACCCCAATTAAAATAATAAAATAAATAATAAATAAAATAGAATATTTGAGATGTAGGTCAAGAGATAAGCCTAAAGTGATTTTTTTTTCCAAAAGATCACAGAAATCTTGACTTTTTAAGAAGATCATTAATTTTTGTCACATAATCAGCATATCAAACATAAGACTGAATGATATGGATACGCTGTGAAATTTCAGATGTTTGTGGATCCAATATGCAAGCAAATACACAAGCAAAAGACACTTGAAAGAATTCTATTCTTAATTTCCATAGTTATGAAATATCTTCTAGGTTTTAGACATTGAATCAGAACAAGGTGATTAAAAAAAATCAGAGCTATTCTCTGAGAGTGTGTGATCTCTGATAGTCATACCTCCTGGGGCCATTAGCATGTGAGCTTTCAAAATTAAGCAGAACTGGGCTGGGGCTATAACTTAGTGGCAGACTGCTTGCCTAGCATGCGTGCAGCACTGGGTTCAATATGCAGCACTACATAAAAATGAACAAAATAAAGGCATTTGGTCCATCTACAACTACAAAAAAATTAAAATTAAGTAGAAGTTGTACTTCAATAGGAAACTTCCACAAGACACTTGCTCAAAGGGAGAAACAATAGTAGCAGCAGAATATTAAAGACTGAAAGGGGCTTGGCTATTTTGAAAAATAATTTATGTCTTTTTACCTTCATGAAGCAAGCTCATTTTAAAACATCAGAAGAATCTACCATGTTTAGACACAAGCAAGTAAGCAAGCCCAACACTTAGGAAAGCAATGGCTACTTCATCATTTTAAGTAAAGGGAAAGAAAAAGGGAATTTTCATTTTGGGGAGTCAGTCTAGAAAAACTCCTACGTTGTGAATTAAACTTTTGGCATTTTAAAAAATTTTATCTAAAATTTTAATTTTTTATATATGACAACAGAATGCATTACAATTCATATGACACATATAGAGCACAATTTTTCATATCTCTGGTTGTACACAAGTAGAGTCACATCCTTCATGTCTTCATAAATGTACTTAGGGTAATGATGATATTGCATTCCACCATCTTTCCTATTCCTATTCCTCCTCCCTTCTACTCCTTCCCCATTTCCCCTTTGCCCTATCTAGAGTTCATTTAATCCCCTGTCCCCCAGTAACATATTATGAATTAAAATCTTTAAATCAGAGAAATTATTTGGCATTTTTTTGGAGATTGGCTAATTTCACTTAGTATTCTCCAGCTCCATCCATTTACCTGCAAATACCATGATTTTATTCTCTTTTAATGCTGAATAATATTCCATTATGTATATATTCCATTGTGTATAAACCACAGCTTCTTTATCCATTCATCTACTGTAGTATGCTTTGGGTATAGACCAAGGAGTGGAATAGCTGGGTTAAATGGTGGTTCCATTCTCAGTTTTCCAAGGATTCTCCATACTGCTTTCCATATTGGCTGTACCAATTTGCAGTCCCACCAGTAATGTATGAGTGTGCCTTTCCCCCCACATCCTCACGAACACTTATTGTTGTTTGTATTTTTAATAGCTGCCATTCTGACTAGAGTGAAATGGAATCTTAGAGTAGTTTTTATTTGCATTTCTGTAATTGCTAGAGATGTTGGACATTTTTTCATATATTTGTTGATTGATTGTATATCTTCTTCTGGGAAGTATCTGTTCAGTTCCTTGGCCCATTTATTAATTGGGTTATTTGTTTTTTGGTGTTAAGATTTTTGAGTTCTTTAAAAATTTTGGTGCCAATACCTGGGCCTGGGTCCTGCATATGTTGGTGTGGGCAGATCTGGGCTGGGCCTGAGCTCCTGTGATGGTCTGCTAGTCAGAAGAGGCAGTCCTGTGCCAGAGCTTGAGCTCTGGCAAATGTCTGCCAGTGGCGGGATGGACCTGGGCCTACTGTGGGCCTGGGTCCTGCACCAACATTTTGCATTTTTAAGTTTCATTTTTACCACTAAATGGCTGACTGACCCTGGGTAAGTCAATGATATTTTGGATCTTGATTTCCTCATCTAGAAAATTAGAGATTTGCACTGGATGATATTTAAAGTTCCTCCTACCTCTACAATTTTGTAATTTCTCCCCCTAGACCATTAATTCTTTGTTACAATAGTATTTCTTCATTCATTGAGCAAATATTTATTGAACACCTGTTTTGTTCCCATATTGTGATGACACTTAGGATTTAAGAATGTGATAAATAAGACACAAAGGATCGCATATTATATGATTCAATTTATATGAAATATCCAGAATAGGCAAATCCATAGAGATGAAAAATATTAGTAATTCTGAAGGCTGAGAGAAGAAGAGTGAGCATGATGACTAATGGGCATGTAGTTTCTTTTAGGAGTGATACAAATGTTCTGGAATTTGATAGTGGTAATGGTTGAATGGTAAAGATATATATATATAAAAACTTTGTCATTATTTTAGCTCACAGTATATATGGTCAGTAGGTAAAGGCAACTATGATACAGTATATTTTGCAATGGACACATAATTTGAACTTGATTGTGGTGAAAATGAGAATCAGGAAATAATTACTTGAGGAAATTATATTAAGCCATCTCCAGGATATGAGTAGGACCTTGGAATAGATAGAGAAGGACATTTCAGATGGAGAAAATATTGCCAAAGCCTGAAAGCCAGAGGGCATAGAGTCCCTTAGGGTAATTAAACTAGATTAGAAGGGCTAGTGGATAGAAATGCAAGAGGAAATTAGATTAGAGATGAGGCTATGGAGGCTTGAGCTAAATCTTGAAATATGCTAAGGAGTTTGGATTTTATTCTGAGGGCAATGGGGAACCTTTGAAGTATTTCAGCCTAGGAAATAATACATTATTAAGTTTGTGACTTGAAAGGAAATCTCTAGCTGCAATGTAAAGAACAGAATGGAGAATGGCAAGACTTGCAACAGGCAGATTGGTGATTGCAACTGTTCAGGCAAAAGTCAAGTCTGGTCTGATCTAAAGTGGAGATTACCATAACATGGATAAACTGAGAAGTGAACACATTTGAGAAATATTAAAATGATTGGGCAGGGGAATACGGAAGGGATCAGGGTTGAGTCATATATTTTAGGCTTGGATGATTAGTATTTGATAATGTCTTTCACTTAGCTAGGAAACAGATGTAGATTTTTAGGAAAAATAATTCACATTTGGATATGCTAAGTACATCAAGTGGAACTGTCTAATGGAGAGGCAGAAGTACTGGTCAGCAACTGACAAGAACAATCTCGGATGGGGATATACATATAACAATAGTTAGAATATAAATTGTCATTGAAAATGAGAGTATATTTGTTCATCCAGGGAGTGTGTTTAGAAGTGAAAAAAGGAAGAGTACCTAGGACAGACCTGGAAGAACATCAAAATAACAAAGAAAAAATGGGCAGGGAGAAAAGTCTAAAGTAAACAGTGAGAAAGAACAACTAGGAGGCTAGAGGAAAATCAGGAGATTGTAATGTTTTTAAGCAAATATGATTTGTTACATATAATGAAATATGTATCAGAGAGTGTACAAGTTACAAATAATGACTAATTCAATACTTAAATAACCTTATGAAGTAGATACTATTATTATCTCTATTTTGTAAATGAGAAAACTGAAGCACACTATTTGCCCAAAGTCATATGGTGAGTAAAGTACAGATATGATTTTAGGCAGCCAGCTTCAAAAGAGTGCAAGTACTTAACTGCTGTGCTATGCTACCTCTCCAGAAAAACACATGCTCAGAAAAGAGCCATGGAAAGTTGGATCTATTGTCTCCATTTTACAAAAAGAAAACTCAGGCCCAGAGAAATTAAGTAATTTGGCTACAATCACATAACTGCTAGGTAGTTGAGTCAGAATTTGAATCTAGGTCCCTTAACTTCAAAGCCTTTTTCTACTAGATTGTACTGCTGGTTATTTTTCTCTGTATACATAG